TGCTGTCTGGATCCTACCAGAAACACTGTACCATACCAGGGATACAACAGGTGAGGTGATGCTGTCTGGATCCTACCAGAAACACTGTACCATACCAGGGATACAACAGGTGAGGTGATGCTGTCTGGATCCTACCAGAAACACTGTACCATACCAGGGATACAACAGGTGAGGTGATGCTGTCTGGATCCTACCAGAAACACTGTACCATACCAGGGATACAACAGGTGAGGTGATGCTGTCTGGATCCTACCAGAAACACTGTACCATACCAGGGATAGAACAGGTGAGGTGATGCTGTCTGGATCCTACCAGAAACACCGTACCATACCAGGGATACAACAGGTGAGGTGATGCTGTCTGGATCCTACGCCACTTTTGGTGCTGTCCTACTAACCCAAGACTGTGAAGCAGCAAGGAATGTTTTGGTCAGACCAGACCCCTAAAGGAGACGGCAACTGTTGCCTTTAAAAAAAAAGATACATACTGTTCAGGGGCGTGCATGTGAGGTAGGGTCCAACTGGATTCGTGGCCACTTTTGGTCATGTATCCCCTATCTTGCTCTGTCCTACTGACCCCTGACCTTGACCCAGGTCAGATCCTAAAGGAGAGAGCAATTGAAGCCTTTCCTGGTTTAGAGTGGTCACGTGTTGCTTGACTTTGCTCTTAATGTGGGTCAGCAGTAGGCAATGCTTTACATGCATACGTCAGCATTGCAGATTACAATAGGTTGCAAATCTCCAATGACTGATAAACATGGAAATAGGCCAACCAATGTAAATTGGTCCAACCCGGGCTTGATGCCTTCAAGGTACCTTGTGTTGCTTTGGTTAACTTTTCCCATGCCAAGTCATGAGTAACCGTGTGTTCTAGTGACAAGAGAAACTCACGCTATCTCTGCCATGTGTCTCTCTGTCCTTCAGCTTTCAGGTTTACCTCATTGTTTTCCTGGTCCTTATCAACTTAACTGAATAACAACATAATAGTGGGAATAACAGGGAGAAATTTGCATTTACAGTGCATTCAGAAAGTATTCCCCTTTTTCACATTTTGTTACGTTACAGCCTTATTCTCAAATGGATTAAATTAGTTGTACCCCCTCTTCATTCTACACACAATGCCCCATAATGACAAAATGAAAAGAGGTTTTTAGAAATGTTTGCAAATGTATTACAAATTAAAAACAGAAATACCTGATTTACATACGTTTTCAGACCATTTGCTATGAGACACGAAATTGAGCTCAGGTGCATCCTGTTTCCATTGATCATCCTTCAGATGTTTCTACAACTTGATTGGAGTCCACCTGTGGTAAATTCAATTGATTGGACAACATTTGGAAAGGCACACACCTGTCTACATAAGGTCACACAGTTGACAGTGCATGTCAGAGCAAAAAAAAGCCATGAGGTCGAAGGAATTGTCCGTAGAGCTCCGAGACAGGATTGTGTCGAGGCACAGATCTGGGGAAGGGTACCAACAAATGTCTGCAGCATTGAAGGTCCCCAAGAACACAGTGGCCTCCATCATTCTTAAATGGAAGAAGTTTGGAACCCCCAAGACTCTTCCTAGAGCTGGCCGCCCGGCCAAACTGAGCAATCGGGGGAGAAGGGCCTTGGTCAGGGAGGTGACCAAGAACCCGATGGTCACTCTGACAGAGCTCCAGAGTTCCTCTGTGGTGATGGGAGAACCTTCCAGAAGGACAACCATCTCTGCAGCACTCCACCAATCAGGCCTTTATGGCAGAGTGGCCAGACGGAAGCCACTCCTCAGTAAAAGGCACATGACAACCCGCTTGGAGTTTGCCAAAAGGCACCTAAAGGACTCAGACCATGAGAAACAAGATTCTCTGCTCTGATGAAACCAGGATTGCACTCTTTGGACTGAATGCCAAGCGTCACGTCTGGAGGAAACCTGGCACCATTCCTACGGTGAAGCATAGTGGTGACAGCATCATGCTGTGGGGATGTTTTTCAGCGGCAGGGAATGGGAGACTAGTCAGGATCGAGGGAAAGATGAACGGAGCAAAGTACAGAGAGATCCTTGATGAAAACCTGCTCCAGAGATCTCAGGACCTCAGACTGGGGTGAAGGTTCACCTTCCAACAGGACAACGAGCCTAAGCACACAGCCAAGACAACACAGGAGTGGCTTCGGGACAAGTCTCTGAATGTCCTTGAGTGGCCCAGCCAGAGCCCGGACTTGAATCTGATCGAACATCTCCCCATCCAACCTGACAGAGCTTGAGAGGATCTGCAGAGAATAATGGGAGAAACTCCCAAAATACAGGTGTGCCAAGCTTGTAGTGTCATACCCAAGAAGACTCGAGGCTGTAATCGCTGCCAACGGTGCTTCAACAAATTACTGAGTAAAGGGTCTGAATACTTATTGAAATGTAATCGTTTTTAATACATTTGCAAACATTTCTAAAAACCTGTTTTTGCTTTGTCATTATGGGGTATTGTGTGTAGATTGATGAGGGGAAAAAACGATTTAAGCAATTTTAGAATAAGGCTGTTACGTAACAAAAATGTGGAAAAAGTGAAGGGGTCTGAATACTTTCCGAATGCACTGTACGTATCTGAAACTCTAAGAAAATAATTGAATCAATAAATATTCAATGAATATTCCTTGATTGGTTCATCAGGTAGGCATTATTATGTGAACTTGAACTAGGCCAGGGCTCTTTTTAGATAAATAATTTTTAGGGGGAACGATCTCAATCGACACTGAAATGACTAAAACCCAATCAAACTGTGTAGAAATTATAATGAACCTACATTTACAGTCTCTTCACTCTGTCCAGCTTGACAACAGTCAACGAAAAAGCTAGACAGTCAGGGAGCATTGGAAAAACAAAAAGCGATGGATACAGGACTATTTTTGGGGCAGATTTTGATGGCGAGAAAATATAATGACTTTAAAGTGCAGACCTTTTGTGAATGTGGCAAAACAACCATGAACTAGGCTACAGCCTTTAACATTGAGAGGCAGTGAATGGATCTGACTCAATTCCTTGAAAGGCCTGTGTCACGCCCTGACTCAGGGGACGTTTATTTGTTGAGTCAGGGCGTGTATATTCCGTGTTGTATTGTTTCTATGGTGTAGTATCTGGTTTGTCTAGTTCTATGTTGGCCGGGGTGGTTCCCAATCAGAGGCAGCTGTAGATCGTTGTCTCTGATTGGGGGACCATACTTAGGCAGCTTGTTGGCACCAGTTAGTTGTGGGATCTTGTTCTGTATAGGTTTGTAGTGTGTACCTTGAGACTTCACGTATCGTTTGTTTTGTTGTGTGTTCAGTACTTAAATAAACATGTACGCTTATCACGCTGCGCCTTGGTTCAACCAGTCTTTAAACGATCGTGACAGCCTGGCTGGTGTGATAGGAGATTTACACTGAGTGTACAAAACATGAAGGACACCTTCCTAATATTGAGTTGCACTTGCACTTGCAAATTTGGCAGGGCATGGACTATACGAGGTGTCGAAAGCGTTTCTACGTGGATGCTGGCCCATGTTGACTCCAATGCTTCCCACAGTTGTGTCAAGTTGGCTGGATCATTCTTGATACACACAGGAAACTGTTGAGCATAAAAAACCCAGCAGCGTTGGAGTTCTTGACACAAACCGGTGCGCCTGGCACCTACTACCATACCCCGTTCAAAATCGCTTAAATATTTTGTCTTGCCCATTCACCTTCTGAATGGCAGACATACACAATGCATGTCTCAATTGTCTCAAGGCTTGAAAATCCTTCTTTAACCTGTCTCCTCCCCTTCATCTACACTGAGTGAAGTGGATTTAACAAGTGACACCAATAAGGGATCATAGCTTTCACCTGGATTTACCTGGTCAGTCTATGTCATGGAAAGAGCAGGTGTCCTTAATGTTTTGTACACTCAGTGTAAATCTCTGACCCTGGTCAGAGGAAAGGCTTGTACACAGTAGACTTATAATAAACAGCTTATACAGAGGTCTGAATCTTATCATACAAGCTAATGCCTAGCTATTTATATATAATCTTGTATTAAGATTCTCCTGCTTGATACAACTCATGGATCGACTAAAGGAACTAACATGGCTGTTGTTTTAACTTCAGCTAGTCTTGAGCTAGTCTGGAGCTAGTCTTGGGCTAGTCTGTAGCTAGTCTGGAGCTAGTCTGGAGCTAGTCTTGAGCTAGTCTTGGGCTAGTCTGGAGCTAGTCTGGAGCTAGTCTGGAGCTAGTCTTGAGCTAGTCTGGAGCTAGTCTTGAGCTAGTCTGGAGCTAGTCTTGGGCTAGTCTTGAGCTAGTCTTGAGCTAGTCTTGGGCTAGTCTGTAGCTAGTCTGGAGCTAGTCTTGAGCTAGTCTGGAGCTAGTCTGGAGCTAGTCTTGGGCTAGTCTTGGGCTAGTCTGGAGCTAGTCTGGAGCTAGTCCAGACAGTTATTCTCATCAGTTTCATGGTGCTTGCAGGAGTGAAGTACAGGCTACTTGTCTAGGCAGGTTTGAAGAATGTCTAGTCTATAGCCTACAATGCACCATATACTTATATAATTGGAGTGCACATGGCTTTTGCACATGGCTGAGTGAACGAGGAAATAGGGAGGGAGGGGGGTCATCCACGTTAAAATAATACATTTTATTTATCTAAGATGTTCAAATCCCCCAAGTTGAGAGTCTTGGTATCTTCTGTGAATCTGATGCAATGTCTTGGGCTGTTGACTGGCCTGAAATGCTGAAGTAAGTTGCATCAGCCAGTCATGTATAACGAGATGTATAGTTGTCTGGAGTGAAAGTAAAAGTACCCAATCAGAGGTTTGTCTGCTGTGATTGATGCTTTATAAGCTAATCGCTGCAAGGCATGGGCGTGTTTTAGTTATGGCCTCAACGCCAATAGGATTTTGAACGTGGTTTGGAATTCCTCTGTATTTGGGACACACATCTCTGATTCGCTACCACCCAATGAAAATCAGCCTCTCTGAGATATAATTGGTTGAAAACACAGTCATAGTGACACACCCATTTCAGCTCTTGGCTATAGATACCCCACGAAAATACGCCATTTGGTATCAAGAAAACAACTAGATGACGAAGAGCAAAGAGGTCTCTGAGAAATCTCAAGATCAACGGTTTCATAAGTATTTTCTCGGTTCGTCTTTCGTCGTGAACAAACTACCGGCTGGCTTCGACAGCTAGCCAAACGGTTTTTGCGATTTTATTTTGATACGAAAACCTAGCCAAGCGGCTACCATGGATTTTTAAGCCAGTATGCGGCGAAACTAATGCATCGGCATGCATCGTGCAAGGCAAAACGGACTCCGAAACTCCATCTTCACAACTGCCAAGCAGTTGGGCTCAAATACCGTCCGCGGTATCACCGTGAGCCAACCTATACCGCTCCTCCTTGATCGAAGGAAGCGAACATTAGCTAGCTAATAAATTGAATCATCAAGTATTATTATTTTTTTTACCATCGATTCATTAGAACATCTAAACACTTGTTACCGATCAAAATGAAACCTCAAGTTATCATCGCCGGTAAGACCAGCCCGACTAGTCTGTGGATCTTCGGGTACGGCTCTCTGGTGTGGAAGCCTGACTTCAAATACAAGAGTAGCAAGGTCGGCTACATCCAAGGCTACAAGAGACGCTTCTGGCACGGAGACAACTTCCATCGTGGAAATGATGACCTAGTAAGCTGAAGATCAATATTTTGCTATGAACATAAAGTATTGCTGCATGTGTAGTTTGATACCACGCCCTGATGTGGCCGCTGTACAGCTTGGCTACATAGCTAACTATTGCTTCAGTCTGAGTGGTGATGCTGACCCATTTTCTCTCCCTTGCAGCCCGGAAGAGTGGTGACGCTGATTGAGGATGATGACGTAAGTGGAACTTTAACCGCCTACTAAATGACGCCTTTAAGGTTTAGCAATGTAGTTTCCACGCAGAACAGAACTCAAACCCTATCACTCATTTCCATATGTATTAATGCGAAATATCCACTTGTTCCTCTTTTGAAAGACCTGTCTAACAGAAATCTCTACCTGTTCCTCAATACAAAATGTCAGCTTGAATGAAGTTTCTAATGACATCTTGCTTCCTCCTCCAATAGGCAACTACCTGGGGCATGGCTTTCGAGGTGACCGGTTCCCAGGTCGAAGAGTCCCTTAAGTACCTAAATGTGCGCGAGGCCGTGTGCGGCGGTTACGTCACCAAGCTCGTGGACTTCATCCCTGAGGATGACCAAGTGAACCAGACCCACCAGGCCCTCCTCTACATTGCTACCCCAGACAACCCTCTCTTCCTGGGGCCCGCCAGCCCTGAGGTGATAGGGCACCAGATCGCCACCAGGCAGGGGAAGACGGGTCACAACCTGGAGTATCTTCTCCGCCTGGCTGAGTTCATGAGGCGGCGCTGCCCTCACGTGGACGACCCACACCTGTTCTCCATCGAGGCTGCCGCTCTGGCCCTAGTGCCATACCTGCTAGGGGCCCAGTAGCCCGTACCCTTCCATCTATAATACGATTAGGGCGGCCTCATATTGGTACCCTGTTCCATTATATAGTGCACTACTGGCTCTGGTCATAAGTATTGTATGCTGTAGGGAATAGGGTGCCATTTGGGATACATGCCTAGTGTAAATGTGTTATCTGTAACAGAGGTTAGGCCATCAGTCACTCTGACTCTAAATTCATAAAACAGATGTGGTCCAGTCCATTTGTGTTGTGTGTATTTGTAAAACCTGTAATGGTGTAGCCCATCTTATCCCATCCACTGTTAACCTAAAGCCATAAAGAATTCAATTTAAGAGGTACAAAGGGAAGCATGTGCTTTGAGTTGAGGTGTGCCTTTTTTTTTAATTCTATATATTTTTACCCAAGCATTAAGATTTAGTTGGTGTTAAGATTATCAACCCAGATGATTTAGGGGAAGCTCTGTGCTAGACGCAACCGTTTGGTCAACAGCGACATCTCTTCACTTCTGGTTTAGGCACTACTATAGTTCATAGTCTTTTTAAATGGTACACTGCATTAACGGTTCTCAATTTCATGTCCATTAATGAAATGGTGATAGCCACTATCTGGTGTTTTCCAACTACAGGCACTAATTTACCAACTGGCTGCTGATATGTCACCTACACCTTTGTTGTAAAAGGTTGCTTTTAGCACCGTTTCATCCAGTAGAATAGTAGATCCCACCAATAAATGGTCAAAACATCCTTTTTGTGTTGCCGTTTTCATTCCTGGTCGGTATTCTTCAAGCCGTACGAGTAGGCAGTGTTCTGATCTACCCGTAAAGAATAGTCTTCCACAAACCATCCATATTGTAGAGTCTCTGCAACTTGGTATGCAGCCGATACCGGCACTCTTGTTCAACCGCTGTAAAATGACATGTCAATAACTAGGGGACCGCAGGCGAGGAACTTGAGATCCCGTGGCTGCTGATGGTCAACTTGTAGAACATACAGTACTCATTACAAGGCGTCTTGTAGAACATACAGTACTCATTACAAGGCGACTTGTAGAACATACAGTACTCATTACAAGGCGACTTGTAGAACATACAGTACTCATTACAAGGCGTACTTGTAGAACATACAGTACTCATTACAAGGCGTCGGGAACATACAGTACTCATACAAGGCGTCTTGGTAGAACATACAGTACTCATTACAAGGCGTCGGGAACATACAGTACTCATTACAAGGCGTCTTGTAGAACATACAGTACTCATTACAAGGCGTCGGGAACATACAGTACTCATTACAAGGCGTCTTGTAGAACATACAGTACTCATTACAAGGCGTCTTGTAGAACATACAGTACTCATTACAAGGCGTCTTGTAGAACATACAGTACTCATTACAAGGCGTCTTGTAGAACATACAGTACTCATTACAAGGCGTCTTGTAGAACATACAGTACTCATTACAAGGCGTCTTGTAGAACATACAGTACTCATTACAAGGCGTCTTGTAGAACATACAGTACTCATTACAAGGCGTCGGGAACATACAGTACTCATTACAAGGCGTCTTGTAGAACATACAGTACTCATTACAAGGCGTCTGTAGAACATACAGTACTCATTACAAGGCGTCTTGTAGAACATACAGTACTCATTACAAGGCGTCGGGACTTGTTGTAGAACATACAGTACTCATTACAAGGCGTCTTGTAGAACATACAGTACTCATTACAAGGCGTCTTGTAGAACATACAGTACTCATTACAAGGTGTCTTGTAGAACATACAGTACTCATTACAAGGCGTCTTGTAGAATACAGTTCATAAGCGTCGGAAATACAGTACTCATTACAAGGCGTCTTGTAGAACATACAGTACTCATTACAAGGCGTCTTGTAGAACATACAGTACTCATTACAAGGCGACTTGTAGAACATACAGTACTCATTACAAGGCGTCTTGTAGAACATACAGTACTCATTACAAGGCGTCTTGTAGAACATACAGTACTCATTACAAGGCGTCTTGTAGAACATACATTACTCATTACAAGGCGACTTGTAGAACATACAGTACTCATTACAAGGCGTCTTGTAGAACATACAGTACTCATTACAAGGCGTCTTGTAGAACATACAGTACTCATTACAAGGCGACTTGTAGAACATACAGTACTCATTACAAGGCGTCTTGTAGAACATACAGTACTCATTACAAGGCGACTTGTAGAACATACAGTACTCATTACAAGGCGTCTTGTAGAACATACAGTACTCATTAGAAGGCGTCTTGTAGAACATACAGTACTCATTACAAGGCGTCGGACCAAATGCGTACTTTAATGTACACACAGCACTCCCAAACGTCTCACCAGAACACACAAAGGTGTCAACCCAAATACACTTCCGTGTACACCAACCAGTGCTCCCATTGGCTGCTGAACACACATTGTGCTCTCAAATATTGGCTGGAGCACGGTGTCCTTTTTTTTGTTGTTGACGTGACTCAAGTCAGGCTATCTAGGTCCACAGTCTTACGTAACCTGTTACCGGGGGCGATGGCGTAGTCCTGTGGTTAGAATCTGCAGCTTTCTGAAAGGTAAAAAAACATCAGGAAGGAAATGGAGATGCATCAACGGTACCTGAGGAATAGGCCAATGTCCTAGTAGTACATAGAGGGAATCTCATACCGGTTCTAGAATCATTTAGATGGGAAATTCATTCTCGCTTTGGAAGAATCGCCATTGAGTTCCCACAATGGAAGGAGGCAGAAGATATAAAATTGAGGAAGACAGAACAACTGTCGTAGGGTAACAAGAATCATCGTATATGGTAAAAAACAGGTACACGTGTAAAAATTGGGAAAATCCTCTTAACTTGACCATTAGAAGAAAGAATGTCCATAGGTTCCGATAAAGGATTTTGGAATTGACCAATGACATCACTTATAAGGGCCACTGACCAACTAAGCCATCTTGGGGGTTTCATAACAGTTTCTCCAACTATGGTATTCTCCTCTAGATCAAAAAATTGCAACCATACTTGAATATGACACACTGGACTAACCCTTCCACTCCTCTGAAAGGATAGTTTCATAACATTACCAAGACTAACCCTTCCACTCCTCTGAAAGGATAGTTTCATAACATTACCAAGACTAACCCTTCCACTCCTCTGAAAGGATCGTTTCATTACATTACCAAGACTAACCCTTCCACTCCTCTGAAAGGATCGTTTCATTACATTACCAAGACTAACCCTTCCACTCCTCTGAAAGGATACAGAGTTTCATAACATTACCAAGAGAAGCTCCTGTACAGTTTGGCCTCGACATCCTTTCACGGAAGGGGTGAGGGCGTGTTTTGGACCTTACCATGACTATATTCTGTGTGTGTTTATGTGTGTGTCACCCTGGACATCAACACCCAAAAGGTCAGACTGCTGCATTGAGGTTCCAACTACAGCACCACAGACATAGTTTAATCACTGTGTACAAGTACATTCTGCTCTGGCTTCATGGCCCAAATGGTACTCTATTCCCTTTATAGTGCACTACTTCTGACCAGGGCTTTTAGGGCTCTGGTTGAAAGTAGTGCACTATATTTGGAATAGGGTGCCATTTTGGACCCAAACCCTTGGCTAGACCATAGGACCACAGTGTTGCACTAGCTGCCTTTCCAAAAAAAACCTGCTACCAAGATGACCTGCAGCCAACACTCCCACGGTACAGACCGTACGACTAAAAACAAACCTCTGCAGCGCTATGAGAGATACATAGCAGTAAATGGTTATGTAATATGTGAAAGTCAACAGCAGTTGAAAGAGCACAGTGAACTGAGGTATTCATTCGAACTCTCCTTGGTTGAATTGTGTGTGTGTGTCTATGCTTGCGTTTGTTTGTTTGTTTGTTTGTGTTTGTTTGTATCTGTAGTAGACTGTTTAAATACTTTACCCTTTCTGGAAAAAGTTTCTCTGACGTAAGAAAACGTACAAGGAAATGTTGTTTTATAGTAGGCCTATTGTGCATGTCCAGGGCATCTATGCCGTTAAATGCATCACAACAAGTTGATTAATCAGTCTTTGTTTTTATTTTGAATTGGCTTCTCCTGTTAGTAAAATGACAGCTTTGTATTCATATTTACACATGACCTATAAAAATAGACAGGCAAACTGGGGGGGGGAAGAACCAACCAGGGGACAACATGTCGCCCTCAAATTTTATTTACATCCATGTGATAGGAGAAGAGATTTCATCATCACACTGTAGTATCCAACACAGAACAAACTTTCAAAACTAGACATAGTGCTTGGCTCCACATAGGGTTTCAAAATTCCGGTAACTTTCCCAAAATTCCCTGGTTTTCCAGAAATCCTGGTTGGAAGACTAGTGGCATTACAAGGGAATGAATAAGCAGGAATTCCGAGAATCCTCCAACCGGGACTTCTGGAAAACCGGGGAAATGTGGAAAAGTTACCAGGATTTGGCAACCCCTAGTTCCACACCTTTTAACATGAGAGCGCCATCATAGCCAAAAACATCACCGAATGACATCACAAAGACTCATTGACTTCTCTGATCAGAAGTATAACATTTTTCTCTGTTTTTTAAAAATAAAAATGCCATCAATACAATTTTTTACAATGTTCACATGAATTCTGATAAATTATTACCCACTTTTAAATTAAACTTAAATTCTATGGTACATTTTACAATCCAAGTTAAGTTTTAAAGGACACCTACTAGGTTGCCTCTGAAATGGCACCCTATTCCCAAAATAGTGCACTACTTTTGGCCAGAGTTTTATCAAAAGGTAGTACAAGTAATGAACAGGGCATCATTTCAGAAGCACACTTGAGTTTTACACAAACAGATCAGCAAAACATCTTTATTAAACAGCGCTCACCACTTTGGAATTCAATTTACCACAAAATACCCCTTCAATCAGTTCTCATCAGACAAAATATATATATTATAATTCCTTCATGTCTCATTGTGTTGGGATGAACTCTATGGAGAGAGAGAGAGAGAGGCTTTTTTCAAAACGGTATTCCAAATTTGCCATTTTGATATGGGTCACTATGACAACATCGGTAGGTCTATAAATATAAAAATAAGAGCTATAATTAAAAAGCAGTCCGTTTTAGTTGTTTGGTATG